GGTGCAGGAACAAAGGAATGAAAGGGGCATAGGGCGAGCCCTGGGGTAGGGAGGACACAAATCCAGGAAACGTGTGTCATGTGGAAACCACTGCTGCCATGGGAGCCACGGGGTGAAATATACCCAACCAGGAAGTCACCATTGGGCGGCATCATCCAGGTCACTGTGCAGCCATCACCTCCATCCAGCTCCAGAAACGTGGTTTGTTTGTTTCATGGCATTGGAAATTGAATCCAGGGAGCTCTGGGCTACCCTAATCCTTTTTATTTTTTATTGTGAAACAGGGCCTCACTAAGGCTGGCCTTGAATTTGCAATCCTGCCTCAGCCTCCCTGGAAGCTGGGATTACAGGTGTGGACCACCATGCCCCGCCTCCAGAAGCTTTTTACGTCCATGCACAGTCTTACCTGTTACAGTGGTGGCTCCCCATCCCCCATGCCCCAGCCCTTGGCAGCCACCAAACCCCTGTGACTTGGGCTGGGGATCTCGCATAAATGGAATCACACATTTGTCTTTGTGTGACCATTGTGGGTGACTTAGCTTATGTTCTCAAGGGTCATCCAGGGTGGCTTCTGTCAGAAATTCCTTCCTTACTGAGATTGCATAATAGTTCTTTGCATGAGTAGGCTGCCCAGTAATCTGTGTGCACTCATTACTAGATGGTTTGGAGCAGAGTGTCACTGTGTGACTGAGTAAGAGATGGGCCTGGGCTGAGGGGTGACTGAGGAGCCACAGGGCACCCCACTCTGTCTGAGTTTCCGGATACATCTGCCCTAACCGGGCCTTGACCCTAAGGGGAGCCTGATCTCCCAGCAGAGATTGTTGGCTGGGCTAAGGAACAATCCCTGCAGGCTTCCTGGAGGAGGTAGCCTGTCACCAGATAGGAGGAGCCAGGAGGGCTGTGCAAAGGGAGGAGGGAGGTTGGAGGATGCACCAGAGGGACTAGGGTGGGGAATCTGGGTTTAATGGCAGGGGAGTTGGGGGAGCCCCGGGCTGCCCCTGCTGTAAATGGATAAACCTCAGCCACTTCTGGGAGGTGGAGCATAAGCCCCAAAGAAGGCTGGAGAGGAGGACGGCATTGGTGGGAGGAGAGGGCCTTGGTCTGGTGAGATGCAAGGGCTACATCTGCTGAGTGTTCCAACGAGGCAAATGGAAGCATCTTTAGAGATCTTTCTGGAGGTATTGGGAGTTTGGAGCAAGAAGGTGCCATGTGCCATGTACGCAACCCTACTGTGTACCCAGAAGGAGGCAGAGGTGGCCTTGCACTGTTCTTTAAATGCTCCTCTCTTTCTGCCCCCTTTTCAGGTAAAGTAATAGGCAGAGAGAGGCAAAAGGACTTGTGAGAGTGCGTGGCTGTGAAAGAGGGAGACAGGACCGCAGCACACCATGAAGGCAGAGCCTGTCCTCTTTGTACAAGATGAAGGCTGCAGTTTGGGGGCACTGTTGGGGCTGGAGTGGAGGTCAGGCCAGGCCTGCCAGGTCATCTCCAACCCTGCCCAGAAGCCAAGCCCTGGTGCAGGCCAGGCCCACAGAGGCAGCGCCTGCAGCCCCTGTCCCAGGTTAAGGAGTGTACCACTCCTCCAATCAAGGGCAGAGAGGAAGAAGACGCTGCACTCAGTGTGGGCTGTGTTCCTCTTCCTGCACAATTCCAATCTGTGGACTCTGGCTTTAATTGTCTTCCCTGAGAGCCTGGCCCAGCTTGGGCCCTGAGGCTGGAGAACACTTTTCCCTCTTTGCCCAATTCTATAATTATTCCAGGCCTCTGGGGAGGGCTGCAGAGTCACCTGGGGTGGGGGAAGCCAAAGAAGAGAGATGGCTCCTTTGTTCCCAGCTCAGCTGTGGTGCTAATGTGGGGGCAGGGATCCTGGAGGCTGCAGGGAAGGAATGGGGTGGGGACTGGCAGGCAGTAGGGAGGCTGCTGAGGATGAGCTAGAAGTTGCAGATTTGTGCTGTAAGGTCCCTAGAACTGGCTTTGGCTTCATCACTGACTCACTTTGTGGTGGCCTTGAGCAAGTCCCAACCTCTCTGAGCCTCAGCTTGCCCATCTTAAAAATGAGAAAAATGAATTACCTCCACCCCATGGCATCATGAAAAAAAATACATGCGAAGAGCTTGGCACACAGCTCAACTGCAAACAGGTTGACTTTCTTTGTTTGGCTCCAAATATTGTTATTATTTCATTCTCCTCCTCATCAGATCACCATGGATCATCCCCCAGATTCCTGCCTGAGGTCCTCAAGAGTTAGGGGAGGGAGGAGACTTGTGCTCACACTCTGTCTCCACAGAAGACAGGAGGAAGTGAGCTCCCAGTCCCTGGTGGGGTAAAAGTGGGAGGCAGAAATGTGGAGCCGTGGAGCCTGAGGGCTGAACTTCCCTGATAATTCAGACGAAAGCCTGAGAAGCTGACAGGTCCATCGGTCCTGGTCACAGCTGCTATCAGAGCTGGGTTTCCAGCACAGCTCTAGGTGAGTTTGGGAGAGAACTTCACCTTCCTCATCTGTCAAATGGGAATGGACTAGAGTATTTGTGCCGGTGCTTGCATCATGCCGGGCATACAGTAGGTGCTCAATAATGAAGTCTTTGCGTGAGCTCTTCCTATCTGTCCTATGCTGTCAGGATGCTCCCAGCTTCAAGGCCTGGCTTACAGGCCCTGCCTCTCTGAAGCCTTCCCCTGTCCCCAAATGCAGGTGCCCTCGCCCCTTCCTTAAGGGCTCTCAGCTGCAGGACCTCCACGCTTCAGAGGGAAGAACACTCCACAGTTCTATTGGCTGCACTCAGTCCCCCTGCCTGGCTCCTGCCCAGTGCTCCCCTGTACACATGGGCTCCTCCCTCCAAGGCTGTGTGGTGCAGGCCCAGGACAGGCCTGGGAGGCCCATGCTCTGTGCAGTCCTGAGCCTCAGTTTCCCTTCCTGCCCTACAGGCACAGTGTCTTTATCAGCACAAGGTCAGAGCTCTTGGGATCCTGACTCTACCCCCATATCCCACCTGGCTGGGTCTGGGGCCAAGGTGTCTTGGAACCAGAGCCCACTATAAACTCACTCACAGCAAACCCCCTTTCTCCAGGCCTTGAAGCCAGGTGCTCATTCTCCCAGGCAAACTGTCACCCTGCTCCCTGCCTCCATGGGGCTGACCTGGGCAGTACTCGTCAGAGAAGCCTACCTTGATTGCCTCTGGGTTGTGAGATGACCCTGCCTGCCCCGGCCTTTGCCCTTGGGAACCAGATGCCCACCCTAGCAGGACCCTGCTAGTGAGTGTAGGCCTGCCTTCTTCTTAGAAAGGGTTCTGCTTTCAGGAAGAACCTGAGAAGGTTCCCACAGAATGTGGAGACTTGGAAACCAGGGAGGCCTTTGTTTGAATCCCAGCTCTCCCCTGTGGCCCTGGAAGGCTGTCCCCTGGTGGGCCTGGCTGCCTGCTCCTAACTGTGAGGTTAGGAAAGCACAGCCCCCCAGGCTGCCACAGGTCACCGCACGCTGGGTTGCAGCCTTCGCACGCAGCATTACATTACCGAGGTGTGCTGTGAGCACGTAAAACGTGCTGGTTTCCATGGTTTAGCACAAAAAAGGAATGTAAAATGACTCACTAGTAATTTTATTACATGTTGAAATAATAATTTCTTGATATCTTGGGTTAAATAAAATACATTATTAAAATTAATTTCACATTAAAATTTTTTTCCACCTGACTACTAGAAACTGGAATATTCCATGTGTGCTTTACAATGAACGTAGCTGCATTCCGAGTGCCAGGCAGCACCGTCTTGCATGGCCATCCCAGGGCTCAGATGAGGGCAGCTTGCTCTGCCTTCCAGGCAGTGGGCTGTTCCTTGGGGTAGGGGGCTCAGAACCCCACTTGCCCCCTGCTGCCCCTGTCACCTCCTAGCCCAGGGCTCCTTCTTTCTTGGGACTAGAGGGGACAGAAAGGGACAGGAGCATGCAGCCTCTGGGACTGGGCAGCTCATATGGGCCTCTGGGCTTGGGGTGCCTGTCGGGCTGCAGCAGCAAAAGGGGTGGGGGCTGACAGACATCGTATTTCCTGGGTGACCCACACACTGCCAGGCATCTTTCCAGAGCGAGATAATCTCCCCTGAGAAGAAGAAAGAATTCTAATTACTTCTCAGGAAGACATTTGTTTGGGGAGGCAGAGGCCGAGCATATGGTAGGGAGGGGTGCTAGCCCCCAGCAGTGGCTGTCAGTTACCTGGCAGCAGGGGGGAGGGCATGTGTGGGGTTTCTTGGTAGAATTTGGGGGGCATAGCTGGACCCTGCAGGGGAAGGGATGGATTGCTCCTTTGGGTATCCCTAAGAGAACCTTCCACAAGCCTGGGCAGCTCCTCTGTGGCCCTTGCCAAATACCCTACGGGGCTTCCAGTGACGATGTGACCAAAGGGAAGAGGTGGGTGTCTCCTCAGGGTGGAGGCAGAGGGGGCCACCTTGGACTGAGCTTCCACAGAGAGCAGAGGGCCCTGGGGAGGGCCAGCAGAGGCCAGCCCCACCAAAGTGAGTGGGAGAATGAGCTTAGCTCACGGGACAGAAGGAGCCAGGCGGACACCCCTGGGTGTCCAGGGAGACGTCTGGGAATCTCTGGGGAGGGGTGGGAGCCACAGAGAGTTCTGAGCACTGGGAAGGATTTGGCTTTCACAAAGATGGTGCTAGCTGCAGCACTCTGGACCAGGAGTAATCTGTGGACTAGGAGTAACCCCCGAGGGGACGGGGTAGCAGCGACTATGGGAATCAGGGGGGCCTGATGAGGCTGACCCCCAGGTCCACAGCCTGACCCCCTTGCTCACCACTTCCAACCTGCCCCACTTAGCCTCTGTCCCCTGCGCTGCCTCCAACGGCCCCAGGACAGAGGCCCAGCTGATGGGATATCCAGGGAGACCTTTTCCTTCCTTCCCACCTCCTGTGGGCCTCACCCACCTGCAGCCAGGCTGTGGCTGCCCGCCTGCTCCTGCTCTGCTTCCCTGCCTCCTCCTGAGCCCACATACCCCCCTGTTTCCATGCAGCCCTGTTCACAGAGACGCCCCATGACATGACGGCGCGGACGGGCGAGGACGTGGAGATGGCCTGTTCCTTCCGTGGCAGCGGCTCCCCCTCCTACTCACTGGAGATCCAGTGGTGGTATGTGCGGAGCCACCGGGACTGGGCCGACAAGCAAGCATGGGCCTCCAACCAGGTACTGGGGAGCTGGGAGGGTGGGTGGTGCTGCCCTGCAGCCCCTCAGAGCTGTTCCTCTGTGCCCCAGGGTGGGGTGGGGAGGCCCAGATGGAGGCTATTTTAGGAAAGGCAGGAGGCAGAGCGGGGCACAGCTCCTGAGAAGCCACAGCAAGAGGGCCCTTGGGAGAACACAGAGGCCCTCCTCTTGGGGAAACGAAGGCCGCAGGGACAGAAGTGGCTCCAGATTATGAGGCAAAGTGGTCTCCTGGTTCACATTCCCCCACTTTTCCAGGCCGCGAGGAGAGTTTTTTGTAAATGGCTCGGCCAACACGGGTGTCACTGTTGCCGAGTTGATTCTCAAGTTCATTCATGCGTGTACACGCAGGCAGGCTCCCGGCAGCCCCAGTCACACAGGCGGCCTGGAGCAGATGCCTTACCACCAACCCCACTGCCAGCTGTCAACTCCTGCGGCTCTGCCAACGGGCTGTCCCTGCAGCAGAGCCTGCTGGCCGTGAGCAGGTGGGGCTGGGGAGCGGAGGAGCATCCCACAGGGTCCCCTGGGCGCCCGCAGGGTCAAGCAGGGTTTGCTCCCGTGGCTCAAGTGTTCCCCATTACCTTCCCTCCCTTTTGGTCTCAGTTCCCTTTTTCTTTCCCCTTCTGGAGTTTCCTGGGGTCACCCCCCAAACAAGCCCCTTGTACTTTCCTCTTTCCCCTTGTACAGCCCTCAGGTCTGTTGTTGGGGTCACCATCTAAGACACTTGCATCCACACACGGATATCCGCACAAATGGATGTGCAAATACACACATCTGCCCCTGAACACTCAAATGTGTACACTTCACCCCACACAGTAGTGAGCTGCCCATTCCCTTTGGCTCCTGAAAGAGCCGTTAACATATGCACAAAGACATGTCACATTCTGTTCTGCTCCTGGGGTGTCAGGTCCCCAGTGTATCAGCCTGCTACATGTAGAGGAAAAGGGCACTGGCCAGGGAAAGCCCCTCGGAAAGGAGGCACGGATATCTGCAGGTGGAAGCCGCGGGGCAGCTTGGGGGAGCTCACACAGCAGCATCTGCTCTGAATGCACATCCACAGACAGGGGCAGGGCCACACTCCTGCTGCCTGCTGGGTGGATGCCGCCCTCCCCGCCTGTCTGCACACAACCCCTATTGATACGCAGTGCCCTCATGGACCGAGATGCCTGGCATGGGCGGTCAGCCTCACAGGTGCCGCCTTCATCTTTTGTCCGACCCCTCCCCCATACCCTGAGCAGACACAGAGCTGAGGGACGCCAACCCCAGACCTCGCAGCTTCCAAGCATCTTCTGCTATAGCTGGAGTCTTTTTGTAAGATGATTTTTAATTTTATATTAACACATGTTAATGGGGTTAGTGTGATATTTTCATACGGGCACACAGCATGCCCGGATCAAATCCATCCTCCCTTGACCCGCAGTCTCAACTGTCCCCTGGTCCTATCCTGCGGTGTGTCTCCCCCACCTCCACCCCATGTTAACACCTTCTCTCTGCTCTCTCCACCCCTCCCCCTCCAACAGCTAAAAGCATCTCAGCAGGAAGACGCAGGGAAGGACGCCACCAAAATAAGTGTGAGTTTTGATAATGACTTCTCACAAGGGCTCTCACAGAGGATGTGGCTATATCTTTAAAAATATTTTTTGGGGGGTGTCCGTTTCAGCAAGGGAGCTTGGGCAGAAAGATGGAGGAGCAGAAAATGAGAAAGAGGAAAAATAGCCCTGCTCTATGTTTTAAAAGCCCGAGATTTTTCAAGTTCATTGAATGACAGGCACAAAAAATGACAAGAGGAGAGAAGATGCATTCTCTCGTGTCGGGGCCAAGGCTGTGTGCGCTTGATGCTTCCTGCCTGTCTCAGCAGCATTTGTATTTGAAGAAACAACAAGGCCTAATGAGACTGAGTGGGCTTTTTTTTTTTTTCCTCATCATGTCTGACAGTGACAGCATCTCATGGTCCCTGAAATCCTGAGTCCCTTGGGTGATCTGGATTCCAGGAATGGGGACTCTAGCACTGGCCAAACTTATGCATTGGCTCATTTTATTATAGCCATACTGTATAGGAAAGGGCAAATATTCACCCATTTTACAGGTGGGGATAATCGAGGCTAGGAAGGGAGTCAAAGACCTGCTGGGGGAGTCACTCTAAGGTGATTAGTGTCCCAGGCTATGCTGGGGCCAGGTGAGGTCAGAGCTCATGGGGTGACAGGGTTGTGGAGGTAGGGCTCTGAGAACCAGGCCTGGAACTGGCAGGCAGGATTGAGAAAGGAAAACACCAAGTAGAGGGACCAGCCTGAGGCCATGAGTGGCCATTGTCCCCTCTGGACCTGTGCCTGTGCCAGCAGGGGCACAACTGTGCATGTGTGCAGGGGTGATCTTTTTGCGTTCATGCCTTTCTGAGGGGTTTCCCAGAACTGTCCTATGACCAGGGAGGAGCTCAGGACCCCAAAGGCCAACTAGACGCAGATGTACAGGGAAGGTTACAGCCTAAAGCATGGACCCCAGGAGGCCTGGGGTGTGTACTGGGCCATGTCTCGGCCTGGAGGTGGGAGTGTGAAGGCAGGGAGGCCAGGGGGAGGCTCCTGCAGCTGGTTTGGCAAGAAAGAGGTGGGCAGTGGGGAGGGCACGGAACACCAAAGCACTGTATGTGCCATTGGCCTGGGGCACAGCTGGCTCTGGAAACCCCAGCCAGACCCAACTCAGGGTGCTGGGTGCTGGCAGTGCTGCCCCCCTCCTGCCCTACCCTCCCCTCTACTGAGGGCATAGCCGTTTCTTTTTTCTTTTTTTTTTTTTTAATTTTATTTATTTATGTGTGTGTGTGGCCAGCTCAGCCCACCAGGGGGCGGGGCTGGCTGGCATGTGGTGCTGGGGGATTGAACCGCGGTCCCTGTGCTTTGCTAAGCTTGTTCTAAGTAGGTGCTTTAGACCACTGAGCCATCTCACCAGCCCAAGGCATAGCCGTTTCTAACACTCCATTTCTTGCCCAAACACCTGTCAGTGGGGCAGGTGGGGGTCTGCATGTATATTAGCACACCCCATTCATCAAAAGCCTCTCCTATGATTTTGTTTTCCGTTTCAGACAAGGCTCAGGCAAAGGAGAGAATAATCTAATTGATTTAGAGGATTATAATTCCAGGCTGCTGGGCCCACGTGAGGGGAATGTGACCACTCAATGAGTTAAATAAAATAAATGAGCTCCATACGAGTGTGGAATCGCCCCAGCCCCACCCCCTGCCAGTGCTGCTCCATCCGGGGCTCTTCAGGTCTGCTGAGGAAATGCACAAGCAGGCCTAGGCCCTGTCTCCATGAACCTCATCCTTAAATACACAGAGGCCCAGCCTGGGATGCCTGTACCAGGTGTGCACCCTCAGATCCTGCAGTCTGAGAGGAGGGCTCTAACTTCTCCTTGGCCTTCCAGGGTCTGCAGATTGCTCTGCCCACTCCTTGGGCTCATCCCAGCTGCACCCCTGCCCTGACCCTGTGCCCTTCTACCCTCCCATCCCCTCTCAGGGCCAGGTCCTCTGCCTAGAAAGCTGCTCCTCTCTTTCCCTTCAGAGGTCAGCAGGGGGCACTTCCCCTGTCCAGCTTAGTGACAGTAGCACTTCTTTCCCCTGATGGCTGTATTTCCACCTGGCATTATCCATTCCTGTGAGCATTTGCCTCCTGTCTGCCTCCCCCAGAGGTGGTGGCCCAGGACTATGCCTGCCTGATGCACTGTTACTCCAGGGCCTTGGGTAGAGCCTGGCAAGACAGTGCCCAGTAAGTGCTCAGTCACACACACACACACACACACACACACACACACACACACACACATGCATCCAGGCCAGCATGTATGGAAATGGATTTTTGTACATGGAGCTACCACTGTGACACAGATCCTGCTCCTGTGTGTGACATGAGTGAGTGAAGGTGCCTGTGTGGCAACCACAGAGACCTAGGAATCCTGGCCCCCATTATCCTTAGCAGGCAACTGAGCCAGACAGGGAGCCAGGACTAACATTCTCTTGTCTTCTAAAACTACCAACATGGATGGAGCATCTCCTGATGTTAAACTCTTGGGACACAATTTTTTTTTTTCAGAACTGGGGATTGAACCCAGGGCCTTGTGCTTGCCAGGCAAGCTCTTATTCTACTGACCCATCTTCCTGGCCCCAACCCATTTTTTTTGGTGGTACCAGGGATTGAACTCAGGACCTGGCACTTGCCAGGCAAGCACTTATTCCACTGAGCTATTCCCTGGCCTTGGGACATAATTTGATCTCTTGAAAAACACCCCATGCCCCAAACATCGCAGTCCACAGTTGGGAGCCATCTCAGATGCTGTGTGGTCTCAGGTTCTGGGGCGGAAGTGCCACCAGCTTAGGAGTTTGTTCCCAGGAGGGCCTTAGGACTATCTGGGTCACCATGCTAACTGTGGGAAGTCCCAGAGTGTGAGACCGGCTATAGTGAGAGCCAGGTGCAACCCTGAGGATGGTGGTGCCAGGACCTAGTGTCTCCGATACTGAGTCCTCATTCCACCTAGGCCTCCTCCCTGGGTCTCCAGTTCCCGTATGAGCTCTTGTCTGCACATATAAAAAACACTTTGGAAACTGTAAAGTGCCATGGATTTGGCTGTGTGAATGGCAGTGGCTGTTTACTTGTTAGCATGACATTGAGAACACCGAGAACCATAAGATTCCTTTTCCTATCACGGAGTAAGAAAGGAGCCAGGGAATGGAAAGAGCTCAGACTCTGGGGGCAGTGAGCTCATTTATATGGGAGGATTGGCATCTGGGAAATAATGAAATAATAATGACACAGTCGCACCACAGCCGCGACATTCAGTGGGTGCTTAGCATCGGTCAGGAGCCGTGCTGAGCGCTCTGTGCGCAGCATTTCAGCGAGCTTGGGGCTGGGGAGGGGTCCTTCCTTGGTCTAGCAGTGTCCCCCAGGGCCTACATGGGTCGAGGGTCCCACTGACATTAAGGGCCTAGTGCTGCGGTGCAGTCGGCGCTTCTGCCTGTTGGCGTTGTCACGCCGTGTGAGTCTTTCTCTTGATCTCACTAAAGCTCACTGTACTCGAGTTTAAGTTAAAGAATGCAGCTGTGACCATCAGCATGGAGGAGGAGGGCTGCTGGCCTCTGAGATCCAGAACAGGGGCCTGACACTGCCAGGAGGGCTTTCTGGAGGATGGAGAGGGAGGACCCCCATGGCCCCATCAGCCTGTCTGGAAAGGTTTTGGGGAGCATTTTGGTAGGCTGGGTTTGGTTGTCATGGAGGAACAGATGGAAGGGGTCTTGGTGATTTGGGGAGACCCAGAAGGAGGCTGGGGTGGTGACCTGGATGGAAAGGGGTACCCTCCCATGCCCTCTGCCCGCACACAATTGTGACCTTCAACTCTCCTCCCAAGGGAGTAAAGGGGGCCTGGGATGGAGGCCCAGTGACAGAAGCTAGAGGGAGAGTCAGGGGCAGACTGTGCAGAGAGTGGAAGGAAGGCAAGGGTGACAAGCGGGGTCGGACTGGGCCCAGGTTTGGGGGATGCCGAGTTGGATGCTGAACATGCTGAGAGGCTGGAAAGCAGCCAGGGAGCTCAGAGCAGGGCCTGCCTGGGCGAGGGAGCCACTGTCCCTGCCCTATCCCTACACCTTGTAGGCCCATTGTGCGGGCAAGGCCTGTGTCGAGGGCACCAGTTGGTACTGTCTTCTGCCTGGCAGTGGGCAGGAGGAGCTGGCCCAGGCAGTCCCCACCACCCCCAAAGTGCCCAGGGCCACGGGGTAAGCAGGAGGGAGGCTGGGCTTGGTCATGGTGAGGACTCTTTCAGCATAATTAGGTGCTTAATGGCACTGCTAAGGCCTGTCGATGCCTGTGCCGAGGTGATTATGATTTACAACCAAGCTACCATGTGGGACCCTCTCTGCTTATGGCCTCTCCAGACCACTGGGCCAAACGGTTTCTGAACAATTTGTGAGCAATGAGAGCCCACAGGCTGTCCCCCTACCAAGTGGACTGCCCTGTCCTCCAGAGGCATAGGCCTGCAGTGAGGCCTGGGGCTGGGCTACTCCAGGACCTGGAGTGGTGAGGGCCTAGGAGGGAGGTGGGAAGACAGACTTGTCGTGTCTGATCATGGAATTCCCTGGAGGTGTGGGTAGCCCCTGTCTCTATGGCCAGCCGGGTACCCCAGGAAGAACATTTCACCTGTCTAAGCCTCAGTTTTCTCCCTCATATAATGGGTGTCCAGCCACTGCCCACATCATGGAGTGACTCTGAAGTCTAAAGTGAGGCTTCCGCACAGCACTTCACAGCGACAATGGTGCCCTAGACCTCGGCTGCTAGCACGACAGCTCCCTTACCATTGTTGCGACCCTTTGCTTGATGTAGACAGTGCCCTGAGCAAAGCCTCCTGGGACTGGGTCCTCACTGTTCCTCTGGTTTCTGCATTAGACAGGCAACTGTGCAGGCCTCGCTGGGCCGGGCTCATTCACAGCCCCATCTTCAGGGCCCACCTCAGAGCAGGTGCTTGCTAAATGTTGAAAGAGTAAATGAATGTAACCCAAGAAGACCAAAGCCCCGTGCGAGGAACCTGTCAAGGTCAGCGCCCCATGCTACAGTGCCCCCTACAGCCACCCCCGGCACTCCAGGGAGGGGGCCTGAAGGCCACAGCAATGTGTGGGCAGAGGGCACGGGAGGGCCCTCGGGGCTGGTGCAGGCTGAGCCGGTGGAGGGCGGGCCCGCGGGTGCTCCCCCCTCGAGCTGCTCCCAGCGTTTTGCATTATTACTCCATTAGCGCCTCGTAGGGTTGACAAATGAAGGATAATTAATATCCGTGAGGGAAGCAGATGTTGAGGTAATTCACTCCCGCTGCGCATTTGCAATAGCATCTCCTCCTCTCCCCCAGAGCTTGGCGGGACCCAGGCCCTGGGAGGCCCTCGGGGGCCCTCAGTGGGGTGGAGAAGTCCGCGGGCTTGTGGGTTCCAGCTGGTCCTGGCACTGAGGACAGGCACCTGCTCCTTGGTCCCCACGCAGAGCCTGCAGCTGGAAGAGGGGCCGCTGCTGGCCATGGCGAGTTCGGCTTGGGTCCCGCCTTGCACCCCTGCTGTCCCCCAGGCTACATGAGGCGAGGTGACATCAGCCTGAGCCAGATGGCCAGGTTCCCTGCTATCGCCACTAACCCGGGCCCCTCTGGAGCCCTCGTGGCTCTGCTGGCCCTGGGGATCCTGTGGAACTGGCCACAGCGTTTGGAGCGTGAACGTTGGTGGAGTCCAGCCCTGGGCCCATGTTCTGCTTTGCCACTTGCTGTGGCAGGGCTCTGGGGGAGTCACTTCCATGGAGGAGTCTCAGGGGTGCCGTGCGGTGTGGGGACAACCAGACACTGCAAGAGTCCGCACAAAAACTCCGTGACGGGGAAAGGAGGACCCAGGGGTGGGTGACACAGGTGTGCAGCGTGGCTAGCCCTGCTGAACCCGGAGGGCACGGTGGCACTGTCCAAGGCTGCACTGCGGCAGCTGCACGGACACACCGTAAACACAACTGCATCAAGCTCTGCGTAATTTATTGTATACAAATTAAGCTTCAATTTTAAAGTAAAAAATACAAACCCCAATGAAACAAACTAACAAAAGGTCAATGTTTTAGAAGACCAAGAGAACAAGTGCTGCCTCTCTGTGCCCACCCTGGAAAGAAGAGCAATGCTCATCCGGGTATCTTTGTGATCAGCCTTTACTTTAAAGCAGTCGCGCTGCGTGGGGGAAGGGAGCCGGCTTCGCTGCGGCCCGCGCCACATCCTCCTGCCCTCTGCCCCAGCACATATAGTGCTAGGAGGCCGCTTCCCTCTTGTCTTCACACTTCACATAGAGACTGCAAAGCCATCCTGGGGACTTGTCTGTCTGTTTCCATAAAGGACATCCTGCCCTAGGATTTCTTTTTTTAAAAATTTTATTACTACATGTTTGCAGAACATAGTGATCATGTTCCTCAGGGCAAGTTGGTGCCTGCTCCTAACACATCTTAATTTGTTTTTCATTTCCTTCTCCTCCATCCATCTCTTGGTCTCTTACCCTTTTGCAAAAGATCTCCCTATTTCCTCTTATCCATCTTTTATTTTGCTTTTTTAAGTTGGGTTTCTCAAAAAGGAGAAAACATATGACATCGAAGCTTGCGCATCTGATTTACTTCACTTAGTATTGTGGCCTCAAGAAGCATTCATTTTCCTACCAGAGCTTCATGCTTGTCCTTCTTTATGGCACAGTAGTACTCCACTGTGTCGCAGAGACCTTCCCCTTCTGCGTGTGGGGAGCTCCAGCGTGTGTGGTGTAGTTTATACTTCTTAAAGACTTTGCAGACTTTCACTGGATGAACCCACCACAGCTTATCTGTTCGCTTAACGAAGTGCTACTGCTTCTACTTTGTTGTTTTACTTCTGTTGTGACACTGCAGTGAACCTTGGTAGAGCCTTTTGTGTGCGTGTGCTTGTGCGTTGTGGTGAGGCGTGTGTGGGGTGTCTCGGCTTCCCCATGGGACCCCTGCCCACACCTTCCCGCTTCGGGACGGGTCACGGTCTCTCTGTCGCCCCCAGGTGGTCAAGGTGGTGGGCAGCAACATCTCCCACAAGCTCAGGCTGTCGCGGGTGAAGCCCACCGACGAAGGCACCTATGAGTGTCGTGTCATCGACTTCAGCGACGGCAAGGCCCGGCACCACAAGGTCAAGGCGTACCTGCGGGTGCAGCCAGGCGAGAACTCCGTCCTACATCTGCCCGAGACGCCTCCGGCCGCGCCAGCCCCGCCACCGCCCAAGCCGGGCAAGGAGCTGCGCAAGCGCTCGGTGGACCCCGAGGCCTGCAGCCTGTAGCCGCGCTGCCGGAGCCCGAGCCGCGCGGGGGACGGACTGCCTGCAGCCGCCGCCTCCTCCGGGCTGCCGGTGGCTGCCGTCACGCCGGCCCTCTGCCCACCACCCCCGCTCAGCATGCAAGCCCACCCACCCATCCCCCTTCAGCCCCTCGCGGTGACCCGGCTCGGAGAAGGTGGCCGTGGGCTCCGAGGGACGACCGCCCTGACCCGACGCTGGGGCTGGGATCATGCCGGGGCCTGGGCTGCCCGTTTCTGCCACCAGCGTCAGTGGAGTACCGTGTTTTGCTTTGCTTGCTTGTCCCCACCCTGTCTTGAGCCGGGCCTCCCGCCATCCCCGCTTGGGCCCGAGGCTGCGGACAGTGTTCCCTCCCTGGCTCTGGACTTGAATCCTCTGAGCAGAGCTGGAGCCTCGCACCCTCCACCGGAAGGAAGAAATGGGGTGCAGAGCCCTCACCAGGGCCTTTCTGTGGCAGGGGCCCCATCGCAGGGTCCCTCACCGGGCCTTGGAGGACAGTGAGGTGCTGTGTGGCTTCCGGTGGGCTCTACCTAAACAGCGGGTCTGACCCTCCAGGGAGGCCAGCACCAGAATCTGTGGATCCACAGCGGGTCAGAGGGAGGTCTCGCCCTGGCCCCAGCCCCCGCAGAGCCGTGCACCAGCAGGACCCCTTCAGGGTCTTTGGGACTCGCCCAGGAGCTCCCTCTGCCAACCGTGATGTCATAGTACCCTCTTGGGCTGCCAGGTCCAACCAAGGCATGGGGCTGTTGGAAGCTACCAGGCCCCCTTTACCAATTCCCTCTCCAGTCCTGATCAGGGGCACCCCCACCCCTGGAAAAGTGTAAATATTTCTATCGGGCCCCTCCCCACCCCCAGAACTGGCTCCAACCTCTAGCCGCCCACTAGTGATGGACCTGGCTGCTGGGAGAGGTAGGGGCTTTGCCTGGGGGTGAGTGGGTAGCTCTGTATACATAATCCAATCCGTGATTACCAGCCAACCTGAATAAAGCGGTTTAAAACAAGTCACAGGCTGTGTCTTTCCAGGGCAATTATCTGGGAGCCCGGCTGTGGGGCCCAGGGAGTCAGGGAGGCCTTAGCTGGCCCACACCAGTGCCAGCACAGAGCACTCTGCTGTCCAGCAGACAGGAGCTGGTGTCTGCACAGCCTGGGAGCTGGCGGGGCCGGGAGACAGCAGGAAAACCAGCCTTTGTCCGTCTCCAGCCAATTACCAAGAGTCACTCCTTGATTCTGAGATAATCACACACACAGGAGCGTGCGTGGAGCACACTTACGTCTTGCTAGGGAGATTACATCAAGTGAATGTGTAGCCACTGCCCACCCGACGTGCCACCCCCCAGAATGGACCCCCACCCCAGAGGACTGCGTCAACCCCACATTTCCCCCACCCCTCCCTCTTAGAGGCCACCACAGTACTTTTAAGACAATCACATCCTTGATATTCCTTTTTTTTTTTTTTTTACGAGCAGAATATATTTACTGGGGGAAAGAACGCTTCTGTCCAAGAGAGGAACAGAAGGGGGACCTGAGCGGGTTGTCCCCCACATTCTTGGTATTCTTTATAATCTCATTACCTATGCATATGTTAATTTAAACAAAGAATTTGAATTTTGTCTTTTTTGAACCATATATGCATGGAGTCTGATTGTTTTTTCTTTTCTAACCCCAACCCTCTTGGTACTGGGGGTTGAATCCAGGGCCTTTACATTGAACTACATCCCTGAACCTTTTTTATCTTTTATTTTTTAAAATCATTTATTTATTTGGTACAAGGTCTCAGTACATAGCTTGGACTCACAGTGATCCTCCTGTCTCAGCCTCCCCAGTGCTGGGATTACAGGTGTGCACCACCACACCTAGTTTTGGTTACCTGCATGGCATGTAGTATCAGGGATCAAACCCAGGTCCTTGGGCTTGCCAGGCAGGCGCTTAGACTACCAAACTATCTCTCCAGCCCTTATTTTTTAATTTTGAGACAGTCTCACTAAATTGCCCAGGCTGGGCTCAAACTTGTGGTCCTCCTGCCTCAGCCTTTCAGATAGCTGGGATTACAAGTGTGCACCACCACACCTACCTAGACTATTTTTCATGCAACATATTACTTTTGAGAGTTGTCCATGCTGTTATGTGTGCCTATGATTTCATGTTTACTCCTGTGTAACATTCTACCAGGTGACTATCCCATAGTTCATCAACTTGGCCACTCTTCTGTTGGCAGCGACTTGCAATTCATTGTTTCCTGGGTGTTCTTGCCCAAGCCGTGTCTCCTCCCCCTTCATGCCTGGGCTCTGCCTCCCCTTGGCTCATCCTGGCTGAGGATGCCTCCTGCTATGGTGCCTGCTGAGACTGCCTGAGCCGGCTGCTTCCTCCTCTGTGCCCCCGAAGAAGCCAATGGCATTGCTGTTCAGGGTCTGGGACCTGGTGCGGAGATGGCTCAGACAGCCCTGGGTCCAGGCCCTGTGCACCACCACAGCAGCCCCAATGCAGGCAGTGCACCCTCAGCTTTCAGATGAGGACGCTGAACTCAGCGAAAGGTGGGTGGAGGATGGGTAAGACGAGGGAGTTGCCAATCAGCCAGGCTGGGAAGCAAGCAGACCTGTTGCAGAGTTTAGGTGTTGCAGGGTTGCCTGGTCTGACCGCGGTCCTTGCAGGCCAGTGGTAGCCTTTATTCCATGAATATGGTCCCTTCCAAAAATGGCCAAGTGCAAGGTGGGCCCTGGATGGCCCAGGTCCCTCTGGGAAGGCCTGGGAGGACCAAGCTCATACTAACGTGGTACCGTGCTCGCCGTCCTGCATACTGCCACTGCACTAAGAGATAGTGAAAGTAGGATTCTGGGCTCCCACAGGATCTCAAAATTTTTTTTTTCCGGTACTGGGGATTGAACTCAGGACCCTCTGCTTGCCAGGCAGGTACTTATTCTATTGAGCTCTCTCTGTGGCCCCCACAGGATCTCATCAGAGCCCCCAGAGCTATATATCTCTTCTCCTCTTCCTCTTCCATGGAAGGATAAGGAAGGATTTTCTATGTCCTGCTGGGAAGGCAGAGGACAGTGCTTGGGTCAGAGTCTCGGCCCCTACCACCCTTGCTGCATGGTCTCAAGCAGCCTCCTCACTTTACCTTTTCTGTACAATGGGGATGTTCCCAGGGAAACCACACCAAAACCCCAGCAAGATGTCACTTCCCACACTGTCGGGGGCTAGAATGAAAAAGATAGCTACTAGGTCTTGGCCAGCAGGAGGGTGTACTGCTGCGGGTGGGAGTGTGGAGGGGTGCAGCTGCTTTGGAAAGCAGACAGGCACTTCCCCGGAATGCTGAGCAGGGCTGGGCATGACTCAGTAATCCTACTCCTGACTATACGCCCAAGAGAAGGGAAAATATATGTCTGCACAAAACTTGGGAATGAATATTTATGGATGTACTGTTCACAATAGCTCTAAAGTGGAAGCAACCCAAGTGTCCATCATCGATGAATGGCTAAGTGAAGGGGGTTCTGTCCAGACAGTGGAATATTACTTGGCAATAAAAAAGTACAATGTTCTGATACATACAGCACCACAGATACCTTGAAACACAGAGGTTGGTGAAAATGGGCAGACACAAGAGCCCACACAGCCTGTGCTTCTATTTCTATGAAATGTCTAGACAGGCAAATTTGTAGACAAAAACCACACTGGTGGTTGACCAGGATTGAGGGAGAAGAGAAATGGGTATAGTTTCTGTTGAGGGTGATATAAATGTTCTAAAATTGATTGTGAAAATGGTTGCTAAACTACAGGAACATTGTTCATTTGTTTTTTTTTTTGTTTTTTTTTTTTAATAGTGTATTTATTTATTTATTTTGTGTGTGTGTGGCCAGCTCAGCCCACCAGGGGGCGGGGCTGACTGGCATGTGGTGCTGGGGGATTGAACCGTGGTCCCTGTACTTCGCTTTGCTTAGCTTGTTCTAAGTAGGTGCTTTAGACCACTGAGCCATCTCACCCAGCCCTGTACATTTGTTTTGAAACAGAGTCTCACTATCTAGTTCTGGATGGCCTTAAACTCGATATGTAGCAACCCACGTTGGCCTAGAACTCCTACCTCAGCCCCTCAGTGCCAGGATTACAGGTATGCATGGCCTCTGTGAACATACTAAAAGCCATGGAATATATACTCTAATTGGATGAGTTGTGTGCTATGTAAGCTGTATCTCAATGAGGCTTTAAAAAAACAAGCTGAGGGCTGGCCAAATAGCTCAGTGGATTAAAGCACCTGCAAGCAGGCGCAGGGGCCAGGGGTTCCATCCCCAGGCCTGCCGTGCCGGCCCTGCCCCTGGGGCGCACTGAGAGGGCAATTGAAAGTAGGCGCGGTGGCCTACAGCTATAATCCCAGCTCTTGGGAAGCTGTAAATAGGTGGATCACTACAAGTCTGATCGAGTAGTGAGATCTTGAACACCCTGCAGACCCCTAAAATATAAAAAAAATTAAATAAATACATAAAAATAAAAAGCCAGACTGCTCCTAACTGTGGCACCCGCACGGCTGCACCAAACACCTGGGAAATTCTGACTCCTCTTAATGTTGCTGTGGTTTGTACATGAAAGTCAGACCCCAGCTGCCCTTGGCCTCTGGGTACTGCTGGTGGTGACAGCAGAGTGGGTGAGGCTGGCGAGGACAGCGCCTCTGGGTGGTACACAGGTGCCCCTGCAAGGCTGCAAGCCATTTTTCTCTTTATGCCCCACCGTAAGAACAACTTGCGAAGCCAGGCACGGTGACGTGAGCCTGTAGTCTCAGCTACACAGGTGGCTGAGGCAGGAGGATTGCTTGGGTCCAGGAACTCAAGGCCAGTCCGAGTAACATAGTGGGTCCCACTAAAAAACACAAACCCAGACAAAAACAACAACAAAAAACACCCCAAACTAACCTACGACAGGAAGTATTTGTCATAGACTCAGATGTCTACAGCCCCTCTTGCCCTTCAGACTTCCATAGGCTGGTATCTATATTGAGGTTAACAATATATCTCAGTTTTAGTGGCTGTAGAAGAGTCCATTGTAGAGACAATCCAGGATTAGTTAGCCAAT